AATAATGTCCAAAAGAACCATCTTACAGAATAAAGACTACAGACCAGTTATATAGGGAGCTGGTCTCCAGGTGGGGGGCAGACATCTATCTGGTCTTAGTTCCTGATAGTCTTTTGTTTTACTGGATGTGCATCACAGACTGGAGCAACGCCCTATACCCTGATGTTTCAGTCATCATTGATGATGGCTGTCAGCATAGACTCTCTGCCTGGGTGTCATCACATTCCTAAGGAACGCAAAAGAACAAAGTTACCAACTTCCGGCAACTGGAAGGGGCCATGAAATCTACAGAGCGTGTCTGGGTTAGTTAATCAGAGGTCATTAAAAGTTACAATATGGTTTCTTTTCTACAATATGGCTTCCCTTATGTCAACCTTGTGTTGAGCTGGTATCACAATGACCTTTGTATAATGGGAGGGACCTGTAAATATGATGGGCTATCACTCCTGTGATTAGGTTGTGTTACGTGGCTCAGAGGACTACAAAAGGGAGATTATCTTCAGTGGACCTGACCTAATCAAGCAAGCCCTTAAAATGACTGGGCTTTTCCTGGAGAAAGAGATTCCAAGCACAAGGGGGATTCAACACGGAAGCTGCTATTTTTTGGAATAAGAGGAGGCCACGTGGCAAGAAATTCGTGGCCGCTAAGTTTATGGTAATTTGTTACATAACAGTAGAAAACAAATACTGTATGGTAAGTCTTGAAATCAGCTAATTTTATTCTTTTTCAAAGTTCTTTTGGTTATTCTGGGTCCTTTGCATTTCCATATGAACTTTTGAAATAAGTTCATCAATATCTACAAAAAAGTCTTTTGGGAGTTTGATTGGAATTGCATTGAATCTATAGATCAAATTTGAGAGAGATTGACGTCTTAACAATAATGAGTCTTCTGACCCACCCATCTCTCACTATTTATTTAGATCTTTAATTTCTCTTAGCAGTGTTTTTAGTTTTTAGTGTACAGGTCTTTCCCATGTTTGTCAGATTTATGCTTGATTATTTTATATTTGTTGATGCTATTGTAAATGGTGTTGTTTTATAAATTTCAATTTTTGATTGTTTATTGCTAGTATATAGAAATACAATTGACTTTTGCGTGTCAATCTTATATCCAGCAATCTTGCTAAACTAACTTACTAGTTCTAGTAGCTTTTTTGTGTGTGTGAGGAGGACCAGCCCTGAGCTAACATCTGATGCCAATCCTCCCCTTTTTTCCTTGAGGAAGATGGGCCCGGGGCTAACAGCCATGGCCATCTTCCTCTGCTTTATATGAGACTCCACCACAGCGTGGCTTAACAAGCGATGCGTCCATGTGTGCCCGGGATCCGAACCTGTGAACCCCGGGCTGCCGCAGCCGAGCGCACGCACTTAACCACTTGCGCCACTGGGCTGGCCCCTCTAGTAGCTTTTTTTAATGTGTAGATTACATTGAATTTTCTACATAAATGAGCGTATTGTCTGCAAATACAGTTTTGTTTCTTCTTTTCTAATCTGTGTGCCTTTTTTTCTTCTTCTTGCCCTACTCTGCTCGCCAGAATGTCCAGTGTTTTATAAAAATGGTGAGAGTGAACAGTCTTGCTTTGTTCCTGATATTAAAGGGAAAGTATTCAGTCTTTCATCATTAAGTATGATGTTAGCTATAGGTTTCTCAAAGATGCCCCTTATCAAGTTGATGAAGTTTCTCTCTATTTCTGGTTTGCTGAGAGTTTTTATCAGGAATGAGTATTGGATTTGCTTTTTTTGTGTCTTTTGAGATGATCATGTGGTTTCTCTGTTTTAGCTTGTTAATACGGTGAATTATTTTAATTTTCAAGTGTTAAACTAACTTTGCATTCCTGGGATAAACACCACTTGGTTATGATGTATCCTTTTTAAACATTGTTGGATTTGATTTGCTAAGATTTGTTTAAAATTTTTGTACCTATGTTCTCAAAGGTTATCAGGCTATAGTTTTATTTTCTTGTAATGTCTTTTGTTTGGTTTTGGTGTCAGGGTAATACTGGCCTCATGCGATGAATGCAGAAATATTCACTCCTTTTCTGGAAGAGTGGTGTTTTAGTAGTCCATTTCTGCCAAATTTTGTGCTATTGTTGACATATATTTTACTTATATATTTACCATATGTAGTTACCATTTCTGGTATTCAGCACATGTGTAGATTCATATTTTCATATGATAGCATTTTCATTCTGCCTGAAAGACTTCCTTTTAACATTCCTGGTAGTGCAGGTATACTAGTGATGAAATCGTTCAGATTTTGTGTGTCTAAAAAAGTATTTATTTTATCTTTGTTTTTGAAACATATTTCACTGGGCACAGAATTAAAGGTTGCCAGTTTTTTTCTTTCAGTGCTTTAAAGATGTTTCTCTGTCTCTAGCTTGCATTGTTCCCAGTGAGAGATCTGCTATCATTCTTATCTTTGTTCCTGTGTACATAATGCATCTGTTTTCTCTTTTTGCTTTTAAGATTTTTTTCATTGTCATTGGTTTTGAGCAATTTGATTATGATATGCCTTGGTGTAGTTTTCTTTGTGTTTCTTAAGTTTGGAGTTTATTGAGGGTTTTGGATATGTGTATTTATAGTTTTCACCAAATTTGGAAAATTTTTGGCCATTATTACTTCAAATATTTTTTTCTGTCTTCTCCTGTCTCTCTCCTCCTTTGGGGAGAACAATCACACATCTGTTAGGCTGTTTGAAGTTGTCCCACCTCTCACTGATGTTCTTTTCATTTTTTTAAATCATAGTAAAGTATATATAACATAAACTTATTTTAACCACTTTTAAGTGTACAGTTCAGTGGCATTTAGTACCTTGACATTGTTGTGCAACCATCACCACCATCCATTTCCAGAACTTTTTTGTCATCCCAAATGGAAACTCTGTACCCATTAAATAATAAGTTTCCTTGTCCCCTGTCCCCAGTCTCTGGAAACCACCATTCTACTTTTTGTCTCTATGAATTTGACTATTCTAGGTACCTCATCTAAGTGAATCGTACAATATTTGTCCTTTTGTGTCTGGTTTATTTCACATAGCACAATGTCTTCAGGATTCCTTTAAAGGCTGAATAATATTCTCTTCATTTTTTAAAATACTCTTTTCTTTCTGTGTTTTATTTTGAATAATTTTATTGTTATGTCTTAAAGTTTATTATTCTTATCTTCTGTAATGTCTAAACAGCTGTTAATCCCATTTACTGTATTTTTCACTACATATATTGTAACTTCATCTTTAGAAGTTTGAGTTGGGTGTTTTCTGTGTGTTCATGTCTCTATTTAACTTTTTGGACACATGTAATACAGTTAATGTAACTGTGTTAATTTCTTTGTCTGCTAAACTATTATTTGTGTCAGTTCTGGGTTGATTTCGACTAACTACTGCCTGGTAATCTTTGATTGGATGCCAGACATTGTGAATTTTACCTCTCGGGTACTGAATACTTTTGTGTTCCTATTAATATTCTTGAGCTTTGCTGTGGGATGTGGTCAAATTACTTGAAAGCAATTTGATCCCTTTGGATCTTGCGTTTAAGATTTGCTTGGCTGGACCAGAGACATGTTTAATCTAGGGCAGGATTTCTTAATATCAGCACTGTAACATTTTGGGTCGGATAATTCTTTGTTGTGAGAGGCTGTCCTGTGCATTGTAGAATGTTTAACAGCATCCCTAGTCTTTAATCTTTAGATGACCCCCTAGTTTTGACAACCAAAAATGTCTCCAGAAATTGCCAGATGTTGGGGGTAGGGGAAAATTGCCCTCAGGTGAGAACTACTGCTTTAGGGTTAATTTTGCCTCACTACTATGGCAAGGTCTTCCTGTATACTCTACCCAAAGCCCCATGAATCATGAGATTTTTTTTTCAGTCTAGTTGTTTGGGGTAGGCGCTTTTATTGGCTTTGTGTGAGTACTGGGCAGTGTTCCCTCTACTCTTTCTGGGTAGTTCTTTTCTCAGTCCTGTTTGGTTTCTTCACATATGTGCGCTGATCAGCATTCAACTGTATATTCAAGGGAGACCCTTTGCAGATCTCTGGAGTTCTATCTTAGTCCGTTCAGGCTGCTGTAACAAAAATACTATAGACTGGGTGGCTTAAACAACACACATTTATTTCTCACAATTCAGGAGGCTGTGGAGTCAAAGATTAAAGTACAAGCAGATTTGGTATCTGATGAGGGCCTGCTTGTTGGTTCATAGGTGGTCATCTTCTAGCTGTGTCTTCACATGGTGGAAAGGGTGAGGGAACTCTCTGGGGTATCTCTTATAAGGGCACTAATCCCATTCATGAGGGCTCTGCTCTCATGACCTACTTACCTCCTAATATCATCACATTGGGGGTTAGGATTTCAACATATGAATTTTGGGGAGACACAGACATTCAGTCCATAACAGGTTCTCTGTCTGTGCATCTTTCTCCTCTCCAGTATTCTATCCCATGAACACTAGCCTCCCCAGACTCTCAGTTCCATCTTCTCCACTCAGTGAGTCTGCCAGGCCTCAGCCAGTTTCCATCCTGTGCCGCTGATGGCGTAGAAACTCTCAAGGCAGTAAGCTGGGACAGTAGGGCTCACCTTATTTCCATGTAGGCCTCTGTCTCCCATGTATCTGATAAAGTTTGTAAACCTGATAGAGGCTCGAGAGCAGTAGGGCTCTCTCAGGGATCTCCTTTGTTGTCTGATGCCCAGTGTTTTGAAGCTGGGCTTTTTTCCCATATATTTTATTTATTTTTTGGTTGTTTCAGGTGGGAGGGTAATCTGGTCACTCTTAGTATATCTTGGTCAGAAGCAGAAGTCGTTTTAACTGATAATTGATTCATATTAATTATTGGTTAAAGCTGAAAGTGTTCTTAAACATTTGCTGACCTAATTTCTTCATTTTTTCGATTTGTATGAAATCTATAGCTGTCATATTCTTTGTTCAAAATCTTCTGTTCTCTGTAGTTCCTATGGTACATCATAAATATTAAATTGGCCCTAAAGCCTTTTATCATCTTTTAATATACCTCTTTAATGCAGATCTTCACAGTGTTATTTAAATATAGGCCTCTAACTATATGGGTAAAATACAATTAAAGTACATGCCCTGACCTGATGAAACACAACAGTGACATCATGTTTTTAGGGCTTTGCCACAGTGGGCTCAAAGACTTCTAGGAGGCTTCCTGTATGATAACTCATATTTTTTAGCAGCTAAAACACCCACTTCAAAGCATTTGTTAGCCTGATTGAGAGTGTAAAGAACTGGTAATATAAGACAGGAAAAAAAACATGAAAGAGAAGATCATTTTGAGCAGTGTATGAGATGAAACTGTACTAAAGAATAATGCTACAAGGATGGGAGTGACTTGGAACCCACTGGTGGTAAGCTATTAGAGAAAGGGGAAATGTACCCAAATAGAAATAAAATGACAGAAGAAATCTGGGCTTGTTTTGTGTGAGATGAGTTTCTCAAATTTGCTACATTGTAACTTCTGCAGAGTTTATAGTATGTACTTGTTGGATATTCAAGGATATAGTAATTTATTCAGAGCATAGCTTGGGGAAAAGATTTGTATGTAGTGGGTAGGATGAAACCATCTGGCCATGTATGTGAACATAGCAAAATCATATTTTTAATGAAATTTTATACATATATAATAAATGATATAAAATGATACATAAATTTGTATAAATTTCATGTGTTAAAGTGAATAAATCATAATTCCTTGGCCTTTGGGATGGCAGTGATGTAGTAGCTAAAAAGAAGAGTTGAGTAAGAGTTTTTGTAGCTCTACAGTATATAAGGATTAGATAGCCTTTTAAAACATACAGATTCCTTATAGATAGATGTGCTGTTAATTTTCTAAGACTGAAAAGCTATTGTGGATAGATAATATTAAAAACTCTGTTTGGAAACAAAATATGATTTAAGGCTTCCAAAAACTAGGATTGCTTTTTAGTAATTAAGAAATAAATATTTAATAAGTATATATTTCTTGTTTGCTGAATATTTTTGATGCTGCAAGTGGTGCTCATGTAGTTAAGTATCTGCCTTTTTCAAGTGATTATAAGTCTTCATGGCAAGAGTTTGTGTGGATAGGGGAATAATACAAAACAGTAGCAGCTTTTTCTTTCCTCAGCATAAAGAAGTATAGAAGATTTTTCATAGCCAAAAATGCGTGTTATAAGGGAATTATAAACACCAAAATCAGGAATTATTACATCTGGAAGGAGGAAGGGGATGCTCTCAGGGAAAGACATTCACTTACACTGAAGCTTTGTTTTGCTTGTTAAATGAAGTTTAACATACGTAGAGAAAAATATAGATCATAAGGGTACAACTTGGTGAATTTTCACAAAATGAACATACCTGTGTAACTAATACTCAATTAAGAAACAGAACATTTGTATTGGAATTGTTTCTTTTTTTTCAAGCTGGGTAGTGGGCACATGGGTGTTTGTTGTATCATTCTGTATTCTTTTTTTTTCATGCTTTAGGTTTGCCTAGAATGTTTTTTAAAAATCATCTCAGTAGGAGAAATGGTCTTTAGAGATCTGGAAAATGTCATAAAACTCACAGGCTTTAGTAGTTGAGAAAGTACTTTAGAGAAATAGGTTTTTTCCACGTAGGCCTTTGTCTCCCGTGTATCTGATAAAGTTTATAAACCTGATATACACCCAAGTAACTGAAGGTTTTAAAATGGAAAAAGAACATAAACAGATCTGTGTGGGATCAAAGTGGTAAAAATTATTAGTACTTTTTGAAACAGTACATTATTGGCCTTTTATAATTGCAATATAAAGTTTGGGTCTTCAGATTTCTGGGTACATTGAAATAACAGCTTTCTTTTGAAATTTTTATCACTAAAATTTCAATGATAGTTTAAGAAGGAAATTCCTTTTTCAGTTCTATAATGAAATATTCAAGATAGAGAAAGAACTGAGCTATGAAGATATTTATAGATCTTTATATCTAGTTTAAAGGATTTATATCTGTTGTAGAAATTGTTATCTATATAGAGGATAGAAATACGCTTAATCCAGGGCCGGCCTTGTGGCTTAGCCATTAAGTGCGCGCGCTCCCCTACTGGCGGCTGGGTTCGGATCCGGGCGCGCACTGACGCACTGCTTGTCCGGCCATGCTGAGGCAGCATCCCACATACAGCAACTAGAAGGATGTGCCACTATGACATACAACTATCTACTGGGGCTTTGGGGAGAAAAAGGGGAAAAAAAAAAAAAAAAGAGGAGGATTGGCAATAGATGTTAGCTCAGGGCCGGTCTTCCTCAGCAAAGAAAAAAAAGAAAGAAATACACTTAATCCAAGGGGTTTCCTGAAATTAGTTATCTCTATTTGCCTTTGTGGTGGTTTTTATTGTTCTTTTCTTTTTAGAGGAGGGGGAGATACTTACTCCATGAACATTTCCAAAATTTGATTTACTTTTACATGTAACAAATTTTTCTGTATATCTCATTTTATGAAAAGTATTAAAATGGGATTTTCCTAATTAAGTTATGGCTGCTATGGTGTGGAAAAGCCATTTGTAAAATAATGTTTTGTAAACATGTTTGGTCATTAGCCCTCCTTCTGCTACTGGGGTTATATGATATGCATAAAATTATTAGAATGTTAATCTATTGAAAACCACTCATATTGAATAATTTTTGTTTCTTTTACTCTCTTGTAGAAGCCAATAGGGCAGTACAGGTAAATTGTTGTTTCTGGTATGTTAGTGTGTATTTGGTCTTCAAAGGAGTTGTTAGGACACATTCAAGTTTTTGTTTTGTTTTCCTGTATTCCCTTGACAGGCAGTGGAGGAGGAAATGGCCGGTCCTAATCAACTCTGCATTCGCCGCTGGACAACAAAGCATGTAGCTATTTGGCTGAAGGATGAAGGCTTTTTTGAATATGTGGACATTTTATGCAATAAGCACCGACTTGATGGAATCACATTGCTAACGTTGACTGAGTATGATCTCCGGTCTCCTCCTCTGGAAATCAAAGTCTTAGGGGACATTAAAAGGTTAATGCTTTCAGTCCGAAAATTGCAGAAAATACATATTGATGTTTTAGAAGACATGGGATACAACAGTGACAGTCCCATGGGTTCTATGACCCCTTTCATCAGTGCTCTTCAGAGTGCAGAGTGGCTCTGTAATGGGGAGCCTTCACATGACTGTGATGGACCCATCACTGATTTGAATTCTGATCAGTACCAGTATATGAACGGTAAAAACAAACACTCTGTTCGAAGATTGGACCCAGAGTACTGGAAGACCATATTGAGTTGTATATATGTTTTTATAGTATTTGGGTTTACATCTTTCATTATGGTAATAGTCCACGAGCGAGTGCCTGACATGCAGACCTATCCCCCACTCCCAGATATATTCTTAGACAGGTAAGTTTTGTTTCTAGTTGCCAAGTTTGTAGAAGATTGCTATAACAGTAATGATAATACTATATTTATGATAATTATGTTTTTTGTTATTGTTGTTTTGGTTGATATATACTTTCCATTTGCTTTACTTTGAAATCACCTTTTTCTCTTAGAGTAAATTAGACCTTAAGCCTAGGTGAGTGGGAAAGACCACTGCTTAATTTATTTTTCTATAGCTATATTATAGTTCCTTGGGCACTTCAGATTTTAAAAGGGTTTCCTGGATGTTGTTTGTAATAAATGGAATTTGGTTACTTTGTGTGTGTGTGTGTGTGTGATGAACAGGATTCTACTTTTCCAAAAAATATGGGAAGTTCTGTATCACCAAATAAATTGGAATTTTCCAAAATAGTACAAACTGATTCATTAATAGTATTCTATTGTTTCTATGAAATACTGAATGCATAAAAAAGAATATAGTATATGTATATAAAAAATAAGAATAGAAAAAAACTCAAAAACATTAATTTTTATATGTTTGCTTTTTAAAATCTTTTTAAAGTTTGTAGTACTTTCATGTTTGTTTTTATAAAATATTTTGCCTTTCTCAAAGTGCCTTATAGTATATGTTTTTTAAAGTAAAATGAATTAAAATGTCCACATTAAGGTGGCAGAGTGACATAGATATCACATTTTGTTCCCTCTCAAATCCTGACGAAAAGTATAGCAAAGAGATTTTGTTTGTTTGTTTTAAGTTGTAAGCCCACAAGGATGGGGCAGATAAGAGAAGAGAAAACAGCTATACATTTTTGGAAGTTTTAAAGCAGATGGAGGCCCAGCTTCAGTGGCCTAGTGGTTAAGTTCGGCACACTCCACTTCAGCAGCCCAGGTTTAGTTCCTGGGGACGGACCTACACCACTCGTCCGTCAGGGGCCATGCTGTGGCAGTGGCTCACATACAAAAAGAGGAAGATTGGCAATGGATGTTAGCTCAGATTGAATCTCCCTCAGCAAAAAAAAAAAAAAAAAAAAAGGCGGATGAGTGGCAACTAGCAGACCTAGAATAACTTAATTCTAAAACAGCAGTTGGGAAAACTGAGAATCAACCCAATCTATGTTGCAGATTTCTCAAAGCTGGATACTACAGGTGAAAAGGTTGTGGTAAAATAAGGAGAATTGAATGAAAGCTGTTTAATAAGCTGTTAGATCCCTATATCTCCTCCTCTGTTCTATACAGTTTTCCCAACTGTAAACAGAAGACCCTAAGGAAGTAAGGAAGAAAACGTGTGGCTGTCTGGGGAAAGAGTACTCTACGCAGAGGAAACAGCAAGGTGCAAAAATCCTGAATTGGTAGTGTGCTTAGCATGTTTAAGGAACAGCAAGTGAGAGATGGGGAGAACAGTTGGAGATGCGGTCTTGAGAAGAGACAGGAACCCAGATTGTGTAGGAACTTTATAGATCATTGTAAGGACTTTAGCTTTCATTCTGAGTGAAAAGGCAAGCTATTGGAAAGTATTTAGGAGAAGGGTAGAGTGATCTAATTTCCATTTTTAAAAGGTCACTCTACTTGTATTGAGAATAGCCTGGAGGTGGGAGTGGGAAAGCAGGGATTAAATTATTGAATTCATCTAAACAAAGATGGTGGTGGATTGGATGAGGGTTAGTAGTGGTAGAGATGGTGTGAAAGAGTAAAATTATGTATATATATATATGTTTTGAAAGTACAGCCAACAAGATTTGCTGATAGATTTGCACGTAAGGTGTAAGAGAAAGAGGGAAGTCAAGGATTATTCCAAGATATTTGACCTGAGTATCTGGAAGGATGGAGTTGCCCTTTACATAGAAGAGAAAACTGGAGAAGGACCTGACCTGAGAGAAGATTAAGGGTTTGCTTTTGGACATGTCCAGTTTGAGATATCTTTTACTCCAATCAGGTGTCAAGTAAGATATGGAAAGTTGAGTTGGAGTTCAGAGAGATCTAGGCTGAAATTTGGGAGTTACCAGTAAAGCCATGATGTTAGATAAGGTCTCTTAGGAAGTAAGAGTTCAGAAGGGAAAAGAAGACAATTGAAGATGGAGCCCAAGAACATTATAACATTTAGAGGTCAGAAAAGTAAGGCAAAACCAGCAAAGAAGACAGAGAAGGTCAAGGCAAAGAGAGAGTAGTATGCTGGAAGCCAAGTAAAAGAGGTATTTTAAGAAGGCAGGAATAATTAATAATTAGCTGTGTCAGGTGCTACTGAGGGGTTAGGTAAGATGAGGATAATTGACCATTGGATTTAGCAACATGTTGGTCATCAGTGACCTTGACAAGAGTTAATAAGCACAAAAGCCTGATTGTAATGGGTTCAAGAGAGAATGTTCAAGAAGAATTTACCTAAAAGTATATCTCCACAAATATGAAATAGCATATGCACAAAGTTATTCATTGTGACATTATTTGTAATAATTGTAAATATTGGAAATAATCTAAATGCTTATCCATGGAAAACTGGTTGAATATACTATGGTACATCTACACAAAGGAGTACTATTTAATCATGAAAAAGAATGAGAAAGATTTCTGTGATATGAAATGATTTGCAGGATAAACTTAGTAGCAGTGAGACCATGAGGATCCAGATCATGGTTTCTAAATACCAAAACCTACTAAAAGGAATGAGACTAGGGCTCCTTAGAGAAATGACTGGTTTTAGGTCTGGGGCAAGGAAAGTACAAAATGAGCCTGAAACAGATCTTGTGCTATAAAGCAAGAAAGTGCTCAAAACTAATGGAAACATGTCAAAAGAACATAGGGGCTGGTTTGAAGGGGCTCCCACTGATCGAATTAGTACAATTGGGACATCAAAAAGAATAATTACGGTAATGGATCATAATATATTGAGTAAGAAAAAGAATCTATGAATCCATAGTGATAAACAAGCAAAAAATGATAGGGTGAGAGGGGAAGTTTTTCAAGAATAATACCAGCAAATAAATGTGGATGGCCTGACTGTTTTGCAGCCTCCCATGTAATAATTTATTCAGGAAAGTCATTAGTGGATGCTAAAATCCATTAGGTAAAAGGCCATTAAGGAACAGGATATTCATGTGATGTAAAAGTATCGTCTCACATATTACTTAATTATAGGGGCAATAAGGTTCCTTTACAATGGCAAGATCTGGCATGCATCATTTAACCAAATGATCGTTCACAGCATCACCTATATAATAATCTTGCCAAAAAAAGGAAATGTAACGTAAATCTAATCATGAGGAAATTATCAGACAAATCCAGAACATGGAACATTCTGTAAGACAGCTGATTTGGACTCTCCAAAGATGTCAATGTAATGGCAGACTAAAGCCAGGCAGGGGGAATTGTAAGGGAAATTGAAGAGATATAACCAAGAGCAATGCATGAACTTTAATTGGATCCTATATTAAGAAAAAAGTATTGCTATAAAGGACATTTTGGGGACAATTAGGAAAAATTTTTTTTTTGAGCAAGATCAGCCCTGAGCTAACAACCATGCCAATCCTCTTCTTTTTGCTGAGGAAGACTGGCCCTGAGCTAACATCTATTGCCAATCTTCCTGCTTTTTTTCCCTTTTTTCTCCCCAAAGCCCCAGTAGATAGTTGTATGTCATAGTTGCACATCCTTCTGGTTGCTCTATGTGGGACGCCGCCTCAGCATGGCCCAACAAGCGGTGCGTCGGTGCCCGCCTGGGATCCGAACCCAGGCCACCAGTAGCAGAGCACGTGCAGTTAACCACTAAGCCATGGGGCTGGCCCCAGGAAAGTTTGAGTATGGACTGCGTATTAAATAATGTAATGTAACACTAAATCAGTGTTCCAATTTCCTGGGTGTAATAGTGTATTGGGTTATGAGGAGGACATCCCTGTTCTTAGCAGATATGTGTTGAAGTATTTAGGGGAGAAGTGTCATAATGACTGCAACTTACTTTGGGGGGTTCAGTCTCCTCAAAAAGAGTATGCATGTATGTGTATGTAGGTATGAAAGAGTGAAATAAAGCAAATGTGGAAAAATGTTAATTATCATAAACAATTGATGGATTTAGGTGAAGAACATAAAGTGTTTATTCTTTCAGCTTTTCTTTTGGTATGATCAAAATTTTTCAAAGTAACAAAATTGGGCAAAGAAATGATGAGAGAGAAATAGAATGAGAAGAAAGAAATTGGAAACAATCAGGTCTTACAAATTTCCTGTAAGGTTAGCAGAGAAATGGAGCTGTAGCTTGGGAAGGGGAGGAAAGGATGTGGCGTCACCAAGGTTTTGTTTTGCATGGGCTGTATTATAAGATGTTTGTTGTATTGATGATAGTGATGACCCAATTTTGGGGGAGAGGGATGATGTTAGACGAAAGAGAGGCTACAATTGTTGGAGCCATGTCCTTGAGTAGATGAAAAGGGATGCGATCTAGTGGGTGGGAGAGGCTGGTCTTAGGCACATAATAAAGCGGAAGGTAGAAAATATGGAGACGGAGGTAGAAGGTAGGTAAATGTGGTGATGAAGCACGAGGAGGTGCTCCTCTGAGTGTTTTTATTTTCTCTGTGAACAGAGAGTAGAATGGAGAGAGGGTTGGAGGTTTGAGGAGAAAGGATGAGGTGTAAAATACTCATGTAGGAGAGTGAATAGACTTGTGTGATGGAGCAGTAAAGGCCTCCTTGAGGTTAGTAGTCATGTTGGCATTGTGTGGTTTTACCAGCCTCACTCAACTGCACAGATACAGGTACGGAATTGGTGGATAATTGGGTTTAAGCAGGTTATTACTAGGCAGTGTGATGAAGGAAGAAGAGGCAAGGGAGTGATTTTAATGACTGACCATGGACTCAGGTGGATAAGGAGGGATGTGAGGATATGAGGTAGGTGAAGGACAGTGAAAATATAAGATCAAGGGGTTTTAGGTCTCAGAATTATTGAAGTTGGAGTACTAGAAGAAGTAAGCTGGAAAGACAAGAGATATTGGTTAATACAGGATTCTTGAAATTGAGATTATGAAGAATAATCTTGGTAAAGAT